AGAACTGCCGGAAAAGTATATAATGTAGGGGGCCTCAACAATAATTACCTGTAATATTTTGGGGTTCCTTATTATAGGTATAGTATAATGGGCCCCAAAACTCTATTCTAATTATTAAGGCCCCTATATTACTCCTCCCAAGTCGTTCACCAACCACTAGGCCCCAACGTCTCCATTCACCAAGGCAGAAACCTGCGTGAAAGAACACCACAAGCCAAGATGCCCCAAGCCCCAAACCCAAAAGTCCACCCCCCCCCCCAAACTCAAAACCCTAGTATAAGGCCACTCCTCGGGACATCCAAACAGTGTTGTGTAAAGGATTTTAGGCCAAACGGGCAAAGCTTCAGGTTCATTTAACTTAACTTATCGACCTTGAGCGTTTCTGGTGGTGTACTTATACAGTTACTCCAGGGGGACTGTACGGGATTATTAGCACTCAATTTTCTGACCACTGTGTTGCAAGACCAAAAGGGGTTTAGTTTACTGCACGTGGGGTTTAGGGATCAGGGGGTGGCAATGCATGGTTGGGGGTTTAGCAGGGTTCTGGGACACCCGAAAACCCTGAATGCTTGTGCAAGCTTCCTCTCCCTCTCTCTCTCTCTCTCTGTATGCGCCAGGCTCGGTTATTCCAAAGTCGCAAAGCCTTGCGTTCAACTCCTCGAAAAAAGCACTTGCAGTCGAGGGTGTTTAGGGTGCTTAGGGCTGCTGCGGTTTAAGGTTTAGGGCTTAAGGCTTTCAGGGGTTTGGGGCTTCAGGGTGTTTAGGCCCTAAGGGGGTGTGGACTTTTTGGTCTTGGGCCTGTTGGCTTCGGGACGTTCCTCTAGAGTTTGAGGGTCTCTACGGCTCTAACCCTGATAGGGTCTAACGGTGTTAACGCTCCAGGTGAGGGAGGGCTCAGAGCTGTCTAAGATTCAGGATACATGCTTTCCGTGTTTGAGACGGTCCTCATCCAGCACTACATTGGCGCTTTTGAGGTCGCGGTGGACGAACCTGCCAAAGCCCAGCACATCGTCTGGGATTTTGCATGGCAGTTTGGAAGGCTTGGTAGCCTGGGTAGGACTAGGTGCTTGCGGTCATGTGCAACAATAGATGGACTCGCGAAGCCTTCCTGAAGATGTTGTTGGTAGTTTGGTGAGCAGGACTCGCGCTGTCAAGCGTTCGGGGTAATGCTGTGACCATGGTTGGGGGATGCTTGTGCTGCTCATCCCTCGAAGGACACCTATGCCCCAATCGTACAGAGGACCCCTAGCCCCCCAACTCAAGAAACCCTACCTGCCATCTGCAACTCTAAAAGACTCTAAAGTCTTAAACTCCAAGTCACAGGTTGTAAACTGAAAGATTGAGGCCAAAAGCCCTCAACCCTACATCCTAAAAGGCCTAGAGGCCCTTAGCCCTACAACCAAAAAGGCACAAAAGCACCAGCCAAGAGTCTCTGACTTAGCAAGTCGGTTGGCCTACTAGAGGAGCCTTAGAATAGCGTGTTAGGCTCCCTTATCGTCTAGTTATAACTTATTCTTTATGGTAGAGTTGTAAGATATAACATGTTATAATAAGGAACCCGAAGGAATAATACTGGTTTAGGGCCCTCAGTTTTTGGGGGTTTGCGGGTTACGGGTTTAGGGGTCTATGGGTTCCGGGTCTAAGGCAAATATAGGGTTTTGGGTATGGGACTTCAACAGGAGGGATGCTGTCAGGAATTCTGAAGACCTCTAGAGCAACATGGACTCTCCACCAGCTTCCTTGAGTGTATAAGCTGCGTCTAAGATTGCTAAGGGGAATGGGGTTGTCATGGCCGCCGCTGCCATAAACCGAACCGAATTCGCAAAGCCAGCAACTCATGACGGAGTTGTAGACATTTGAAAACATCAAAGTAAGTCGAGCTTGAAAGAAACATAATAACGGAGCACTACGTACCACGGACGTGAAAACGTGAATCGCGCCAGCCGAACGGAGGCCGCTGCCCATGTAGATACCTGAGCATCGATTCTGTCTACGCCTCTTGGGCTTCTGATCAAAGCCAAAGATAGACCTCAAAGCGTCGGCTGCAGAAATCCGAAGGAAAAACATGCACACTGCAAGTCTATTTAAGTGGGGGCTTTGCTGAAAAAACGTAAACCCTAAACCTCACCACAAACCCTAAAACCCAAACTTAACCCCAATACCCCTTCAGCCTTGCTGGGAAAGGGGCGCAACGCCCTCCGCCATGTGCAACACCAATTTTCGCTTCTGGGCCTGCCGGTGACGCCCAGGCATGGAAAGGCTGCGCAGAGGACCCGGAGACTTAGACAGTTTAGGCTTTAAGGCTTTTCGGGTCTATAGGGCTTGCGGTAGGCTTTAGTGATGCTATCACCAGATAGCCTCATGTGTAACCGCATGTATATCAGGCTGAATCGGGATCTGAAAGGACAACGCCACTTGTCTAGGGCACATACACTTGGGGTTTCCGAAAATAAGGGACCCTAATATAGTACCCTAAATAGTAGGATCCTTATTATAAGGACCCCCAATATAAGGTACCCCTTCTTTTCGGAAACTCCCACTTCTACTTCTACTCCTAACTCGCAGACCAAAACCGAAAATCAGTAGGATTCGTTTACATGGCTCCCAAACCCCGCGGTTGGTTTTACAGTAGCGCATCTGCCAGAGGCTTCGGGACGACAGCAGGACTGGAACACCTGGGAGTATGAAGGCCTTAATACAATAATACACATTTTTGACATGCATTTTCCAGGTGCTCATACGGCTTTGGAGTATTACAGGGGGCTTTTGAATTAGTATAACGTTGAACGTAGAGTAGAAGAGGGCGCCACTGCTACCTATTCAGACACCCTGCTAGACTGGAGAAGACGGCTGCTTTTGCAAAAACGATGTCTGTCTCGTCGTGCACTTTCGGGTCGAAGGTCGCGCATGCGCCTTTCACCGGCACGAAGCCGTGCCTGGGTTCATGTTAAGGAGCTTAAGTTAGACAACCATGAGAAGGAAACCCTATCATTTACGGTAGATACCCAATCATGATAACTTGAGAAGCAACTCCTTAACAATGACACATTGTTGGTTTATTTCTAGAAAGTAAAGATCCCATCATGGAAGCTTGAAAAAACTCCTTAAGCCTAAACCCTAAACCCAAAACCGTAAAAGAACCCAGGCGCTTGGAAGCCATGGCTTTGACGACCTCGCTGCACGGCGTCTCGCCGTCGTGCCTGATGTGTTCGTGCAGCTCCATCCTGGGTTGATGTTCAAGAGTTTAGGGTTCAGGGTTT